CAGTCTTCAGTTAGTAATGAGTAAAACCTCGTGTTATCTGGCCACTGCATTTTCGAAGGAACTGCTTAACTATGTGTTTTCTCTGTCCACACAAACACTCAGGTAGACATTGTCTATATGCAAGTGAGGTGAACACTCATTCATGGTGTTGTCTTTTTGCTTGATGGCTTTTATATCATTCATTTATGTCTTGCCCTAAGGAATATTTGGAGGCCACTGAACCCAGAATGGATGGCTCCCCTTTCCCATTCAGTACAAACATATGTCTAAGCTCCCACAGCGTCAAGAATTGGAAATACTCAGATTGCCACTGAGGTAGCCACTGGTGGGAACGTGCTCATTCTGCATCCATGTCTGTTCTCGTTACAACTCCACTAAGTCTCAGGCTGAGAAGAGCACCTAATGAGAAGAGATCAGGCCTTGAGTTTTTGTGACAACTCATTTTCTTGACACAGACAGCAACAAAAACTGAAAACGACACAGCCTTAATCTCTTCCTCTGACAACTTTAAGGCTGTAATGAGAACAGACAACTGCAGAAAATGTTTCCCTTTGCTTCTGAAACTGAAGCCTTGTGTCCCTGCTATGGAGCACTGGTGGCAAACAAGAAGAAAGACAGTATTAGTGCCAAAACCACCACTGGCCTAGGCCCTTCATGAAGAGGGCCACTGGAGCTTCTTCATTATGTATAGCCTCAAGCACAGGTTTAGTACTCAGATATTAAAGCTAGAGTCCCTGACTTCAGATGGAGGTTCCCCATTCCCTGCATCTCAGCTGATCCATGAATGTTTTTCTGCCAAGAGCACTTGCCAGGTCAGGAAAGAAGATGGAGCCACAAGAAGCCGCATCAGCATAGCTATGATCCAATATTGCTTGCATTATTGTGGCCTGCGAACATAAAATTAACAGAGAAAGAGGCCCACGAAGAGTACACTAAAGTAGACAAGTTAATTGTCTACAGCAGATGGTGTTAGACAGGATGATAAAAGCCAAAGGAGGTAAAATATTGCATATAATGTTTGGCAAAGAGGCAGGTTCTATGAGGAAAGAAGTGTGCAAATTAACAGCCTGATTTGGAAGCATACTTAGCCCTGGAAAAGAGGGGAGGGTTCAAGAGAAAAGATTCGGTCTGGGAGGAGAAGCTGAAATGATACACTGTGATAGCACGTGCACAAAGGGACTCAGGGTAACAGGGAGCTTGTCTGGGATTTGTGAGGGAGCAGTTTTGCACAAGGCTTTTTTTTTTTTTTCCGCACGTCTTCAGGATGAGACCATTTACACAACAGCATGAGCAAAAGAGACTCTATATGTATATGCATAGATGAATACTTATATTTATATTTAGATATATGTACACACACAGTATGTAATAAAAAATTCAATAGAGTATTCTGAAAGCTTCTTACGTGGAGAGTGGACATTTTTCTAAGCTACCCAAGACAGCAAACAACAGGTCAAGCCCAAGTAAGCACAAGGAAATAATGAGGTAATACTGGTCAGTATGCGAAGTGGAAGACCTCTGCAAATCTGGCAGCCTAACCTTTCTGTAGGCTGCACAAAGGGGAGATATAATGAGATCCTTAGCAGAGGATAATGAGGTATTTGTGCATGTTTACATGCAGCCCTCCCAAAATGCAAAGAATAATGTGGAAAAAAGGGCTTGCTGAGTACTTTAACCAGCAACAGGAGAAGAGACTGTCTTTGAGGGCTGATCAGAGACAAGATGCAAATTCTCAGCTTGAAAGAGGAGACAAGATCATGTTTGATGCAAGAGGGAAGGGGGGGTACCATTGCTGCCCATCATTCTCTGGTGATTTCCAGTGTCTGGACCCAGCTCCTTTCTCTTGTTTCACATCCATAGTTAAACTTTTCTCAGGTTTGATCTTTGCTCTTGCTACTCATCAGGGCTCTGATCTGTGAGCAGGATTTCGTGCAGTTCTGATGATTTTAACTATTATTGCACATTTCCCCAGGTCAGATTCTGTGTTTCAGCCCACATGCATACATGATGCCATGCAGGAGGAAAGCACAGAGAGACAATAAAAACCAGTGCATTCCCTTAAGCCTGAAGCTGCTGGGACAGGACATGTGTCTCCCAGCATGCATGAGAACCTAATTCATGTCAGCTCCCGAAATACTGACGAAAACAGTTTCCCAGTCCCATCCACTTTTCTCTGCAAACACATTCAAACAGTCCAGACTGCTGCATCATCTCTTACTAGTATTTGCTGTTTGCTGACCCACACAGTTTTGGTGGGAAGCCATGTGAATTTGGGTGGTTACTGAGTTTCACTTTGAGGTTTGGGGTCTTTTCACAAGAACTGACAGCACAAGGATTCCTTTGGCCTGAAAGATCCATCCAAATAATCTAAGCTGGCCTCTTATTTACCACCAACCAGAGGACTTCTTCAGATTCACTGTTCTTTGAATAGAGTCACCATTGAGAGGTAAACATTCTGCCTAGATTTTCCAGTCTACAATGGAGCAGAATTCACCATACTCCTTTTACATCATTCTGATTCATAATTACTCTCATTGTAATAAACCTGCTTAGTATTTCCAGCATAAACCAGACCAGCTTTAATTCCCAGTCCTTGACTCTTTTTGTCTTATGGACTGAACACCTGACTCAAGGTGGACCAGACCACAGGTGTGCGTCTGCTTGAGCCACCTTTATGGCCAGGATGACAAATAGGTCCTCCTTCAGTGTGGTTCAGCTCAGCTCAGAGATAGACACTTGTGTGGACATCTGAACTGCAAAGACTGAAAATTAAATGAATGTCATGATCAGACTGCTCGAGCCAAACTTTAACTTTCTATCTTGAAAAACGAAACAACTTAAGCTCCCAGAGGGGCTGTTTTCTCTAATCATCCCCTTGGCTCTTCTCAGAACCCTTTCCCAACTTCTATCCCTGTGTTATCTGAATACCTTTCTTACAAAATACATCGATCACAGAATGCACTCTCTCAAATTTTATGCAACCTGGTTCCTTTCCTTCTGGGCAACACAGAGAACTCACTAAGAGGCAGTTTTTAAAGTTAAGGCAAAAAAAAAATATTGCTGTAGCAAAGGCAATTGTGGTGAGAGGTCTTGGCATGGCTGAATAACACGGAAGCCAGCAAGGAACCTGAGCCAGGCTCCATGTGCTCAGGGCAACTTATTGTTGTATTGTACATGATACATACTGCATCAACAGATTTTTATTCCATTTAAAAAAACAAGCAGTCAGTGCTGTTGAGGTTAGAAAGGCATGTTGAAGTACCCAGAAATTCTTGCTGTCTTTTTGCAGCAAGGCAGCTAAGGAGATCACCTCTTCATAAGACATTCATAATGGGAAAAGCAGGTTTGGGATAGCACTTGTTCAGCTTTCCTTCCAGCTGCCCCCTCTTCTGTGCTCCTTTCAGCCCAGTGGTCTGGCTTCAAATGAAAAAAACAAGGCAGTGAAGATCAAAGGGAAACAGTCAGACTTCAAACATCTAATTCTGCAGAGATAACAAAATTATTCTTTTATTTAAAAAAATAAAATCTCACTTCCAATAAAACACCATGTGCATCCCCCATGGGCTCCCCATCTGCTCCATTGGAGGAGCATGGGATCACTCCCCGTACCGGCCTCAGCAGCAGGGGTGAAGGATGGAGCACCAGCCATCTGGAGCGCTCCCCTGGGATCTGGCTTGTATCAGGTAATTATAAGATGTAGCAGTTTTCCCCTTCAAAGCACTTTACAAATATTAAATAATTAACCCACACCACTCCCCCTTTAGGGACAGAACTGGTGCAGTCTCCATATGTACAGAGGGGAGGAGCAGATGTAGATTAGATGACTTTCTCAAGACCTTCTGAGGAGTCAGTAACAGGGCACCTGTTTGCTCCAGTCTTGTGTTTGCTCATGTTTAAAAAGTCCCTTCAACCCTACATGTTGTAATCCCTATTTTACAACAAAGGGGACAGGCAGGTTTTGCTCTGCTGCATCAGCAGTACAGAAGATGTTGCAGTAATCCCGAGTCTGACTTTGAACTTCAAACAGAGCCACGGCAACAAACCTGCATGTGCAATAGCATATACACTTTTAGTTAACAGAGCAGAAATAGTGCCACTTGCTTCACAGAGAAGTAAGAGAAGAGCCTCGAGTCCTGAAGGCATTTGTCAATATCTAGTATAGTGTTATTTCCACACAAGCAGTACTATAGGTTGGGGTTGCCAATGGGTGGCTGGAGGACTTGACGAGTGTATCAGACCGAGAGCTCTCTGAAGTGCCCTGGTTGGCAGGATGAGTCTCCATCTTGTTTATATTCCTCTTCACAGTAGCAGAGCGGTGTCATTCACTGGTGGGTGTATCTCTGGGGAGGGAGCAGGACCTGCAGGAACCTGGGAAGAAGTGAATTTTAATGAAGGGCTTGAAAAGAAAACCTGTTGGCCTGAAGTCTTTGGCGGCAATACGATGGCTGGAGACCAGAGTCTCAGGGAAGGTAAATCAGATTGTACCAGCTCATGCTCACTGACAGTCTGTAGGTCCTCCTTCAGTGTGGTTCAGCTCAGCTCAGAGATAGACACTTGTGTGGACATCTGAACTGCAAAGACTGAAAATTAAATGAATGTCATGATCAGACTGCTCGAGCCAAACTTTAACTTTCTATCTTGAAAAACGAAACAACTTAAGCTCCCAGAGGGGCTGTTTTCTCTAATCATCCCCTTGGCTCTTCTCAGAACCCTTTCCCAACTTCTATCCCTGTGTTATCTGAATACCTTTCTTACAAAATACATCGATCACAGAATGCACTCTCTCAAATTTTATGCAACCTGGTTCCTTTCCTTCTGGGCAACACAGAGAACTCACTAAGAGGCAGTTTTTAAAGTTAAGGCAAAAAAAAAATATTGCTGTAGCAAAGGCAATTGTGGTGAGAGGTCTTGGCATGGCTGAATAACATGGAAGCCAGCAAGGAACCTGAGCCAGGCTCCATGTGCTCAGGGCAACTTATTGTTGTATTGTACATGATACATACTGCATCAACAGATTTTTATTCCATTTAAAAAAACAAGCAGTCAGTGCTGTTGAGGTTAGAAAGGCATGTTGAAGTACCCAGAAATTCTTGCTGTCTTTTTGCAGCAAGGCAGCTAAGGAGATCACCTCTTCATAAGACATTCATAATGGGAAAAGCAGGTTTGGGATAGCACTTGTTCAGCTTTCCTTCCAGCTGCCCCCTCTTCTGTGCTCCTTTCAGCCCAGTGGTCTGGCTTCAAATGAAAAAAACAAGGCAGTGAAGATCAAAGGGAAACAGTCAGACTTCAAACATCTAATTCTGCAGAGATAACAAAATTATTCTTTTATTTAAAAAAATAAAATCTCACTTCCAATAAAACACCATGTGCATCCCCCATGGGCTCCCCATCTGCTCCATTGGAGGAGCATGGGATCACTCCCCGTACCGGCCTCAGCAGCAGGGGTGAAGGATGGAGCACCAGCCATCTGGAGCGCTCCCCTGGGATCTGGCTTGTATCAGGTAATTATAAGATGTAGCAGTTTTCCCCTTCAAAGCACTTTACAAATATTAAATAATTAACCCACACCACTCCCCCTTTAGGGACAGAACTGGTGCAGTCTCCATATGTACAGAGGGGAGGAGCAGATGTAGATTAGATGACTTTCTCAAGACCTTCTGAGGAGTCAGTAACAGGGCACCTGTTTGCTCCAGTCTTGTGTTTGCTCATGTTTAAAAAGTCCCTTCAACCCTACATGTTGTAATCCCTATTTTACAACAAAGGGGACAGGCAGGTTTTGCTCTGCTGCATCAGCAGTACAGAAGATGTTGCAGTAATCCCGAGTCTGACTTTGAACTTCAAACAGAGCAACGGCAACAAACCTGCATGTGCAATAGCATATATACTTTTAGTTAACAGAGCAGAAATAGTGCCACTTGCTTCACAGAGAAGTAAGAGAAGAGCCTCGAGTCCTGAAGGCATTTGTCAATATCTAGTATAGTGTTATTTCCACACAAACAGTACTACAGGTTGGGGTTGCCAACGGGTGGCTGGAGGACTTGGCGAGTGTATCAGACCAAGAGATCTCTGAAGTGCCCTGGTTGGCAGGATGAGTCTCCATCTTGTTTATATTCCTCTTCGCAGTAGCAGAGCGGTGTCATTCACTGGTGGGTGTATCTCTGGGGAGGGAGCAGGACCTGCAGGAACCTGGGAAGAAGTGAATTTTAATGAAGGGCTTGAAAAGAAAACCTGTTGGCCTGAAGTCTTTGGCGGCAATACGATGGCTGGAGACCAGAGTCTCAGGGAAGGTAAATCAGATTGTACCAGCTCATGCTCACTGACAGTCTGTACGTATATGTAAGAGTCCTACATCTGCATTAAAATGCAGCTGCCTCAGCCAATTTGCTGTACAAACAGCATTAAACACTGGCACATTTTCAGAGGAAGAACTAAGGATAACAATTTTGTTTGAAAAATATAGATGAAATTTTAAGTAAGAAGAGAATATGATTAATCAGCTTGCAGCTTGAAAATAACCTGAGTTATGTACAATATTAATAAAAAGTGACATTTGATACTCAACCAGTCACAGCTTCATTTTGCTATCACACCTGTCAGTTGGCAGCACCAGTGCCACAGCAGTCTCCGGTCATCTCCTCAGGCATCTTTTCCTCCCTGAGAAGGCATCATCCTTGCAACCAGCCCTCAACTCCACAACCCCCTTGGAGGGTTTTTATTCATGAACTCACCCTGCACCTCCTTAGGTTCGTAGCACTAGTGGGACCGCCACTCTGATAGTGGTGCAACAAGAAGCAGAGGCAGGTGTAATCCCGGCAGTGCCTCAGGAGAGCTCAGCTTGGAGGCAGGAGCAGAAACACGGGCATGAGAGCCAGCACCGGTAGGACCAGAGGTCCCGGGAGCTTCCCCTCCCTTCCTCTCAGTCCTCCAAGTGGAGCACCATGCCCACAGCTCTCTTGTTCCCAAGATTAACTTTAAAAATCTTTCTGTCGCAAGGCTTGTCCTGTGTATTTATCACTACTGCTGTAGCCAGGGATTTCTTCTTTTATGGCACCTTTGGCTTTAAATGAAGTGTCACAGGTAATTTGAGGGGTAAAAGAAGCTGCAGTATCATCATGATGTTTCCAAAGCTGTGCCCATCCTCTCAGTTGACCCCCCCGCCTTGCCATGGATCATGAGCAATGAGGTTATATCTCAAAGAGAAGAAAAGGTATTTCACTGACACACGAGACAGTACTGGGTGGTCAGCTGGCTCTGAAACAATCAGACAAAATGACCGAGGTGTAATTCAGAAAAAAATAACGGGCTTGCAACTTCCCAAAATATTTTGAACTTACACAGCATGAATCACCTGTGGTAACTAGCAGAAGGCTCATCAACTGAACTATCCATCAGATTAAATTGATTAAATTATACAATAAAACAAGATTTATCCCTGCCATCCAGACTCCCATTTTGTTGCACTAGTACGATTAAGAAGGGAAAATCAGAATTGCTTTCTCTCCTTTGTTCAGGCACAGTTGCAATCCAGTAAATATCACAGATAGATAGTCTCTAGATGTAAATAGTGTGTGTCTGTGCATGTGTTAATTTTTTTTAATTATACTAAGTAGTTTTCAAGTCCATTCAAAATCTCTCCCCACACCAATTTTTTCTGAGGCACCTGCAAATGTGTCTCAAGAACTGTCGTAAAAGAAATGTCAGGCTCACTCAATCATTGCATTTGCAAACAAAAATGCCAGTGTTTACCAGTCCAATAATGAAAGACTAGATCATGCATACACTGTCCAAGACCATCCTCCTGACCTTAAGAAGAAAACCTCACACACAGATGTTTTCCCTGAATCTTGAATGACAAGGTCAGATAATAATATCCTACTCTGAAATATCAGTGTCACCACAGAGAACTCCCAACTTGCTCCACAAACGTGCTATACACACAAGAGAGTGAAAGGCAACTTCTTAGGCAATAAAGAGCAGCAGCCTGCGGATGAATTGTGCACTGGTAATCCACTCAAATCCCGTGAAGGAAGGGAAGGCAGAGTCGCCCCGTGCTGGGTTCTCTGAACTGTCTGAACAGCTGAAGTATCCCCTTCAACGCAGTGTGGGTCTGCTTCCCCTTTCCCTACACCACTGTCATGCCCTTGGTATTGAAAACATTGCAACAGTTAGTAAAACAGAATTTATATATTCAAGTTAATGCTTTGCAGCTTGTGGATCTTGGTGTGAAAGCTCTAAAACATGAACACCCATTGACTGGCAGACCCCACAGTTGAGAGGTTGATTTCATTTTAAAATAATGTTTTACATTCTATGATTTTATTTTACATTTTCCATTCAATTCTGTTTTCACTTCAGCTGACAAGTGTCTTTGCTTAATTTAATAACAAGAATACTAAGTGGTCACTTGACGTTCTCCCCACCCAGGTCTTCCTCTACAGAGGAAGCTGGTATTCTCATGCCTGTTTCAAAAATCCTTATCCCAATCATACATATGGTCAGACTCCCTCCACAAAGCCACAGTTGTTTGAAGGGACATCATCAAATAAATACAAACACGTTGGCACAAGTTTCAGTGTTAGCCATTAAGAGAAATGGTTTATTTCCAGTCATAAAGCAAAGACGTCTTTAGGGATCTTGCTTTGTGCCATTTTAGCCTTGCACAGTTCATGCCCTCAATAAAATTACTCCTGGTTTACACCTGTTGTGGTTTAACCTGGCAGGCAGCTAAACACCACACAGCTGTTCCCTCACTCCCCTCCACCCCCTGCAGTGGGATGGGGGAGAGAATTGAGGGGAAAAAAGTAAAATTCATGGGATTGATAAAGACAGTTCAATAGGACAGAAAAGGAAGGGAAAATAATAATAATAATAATAATGATAAAAGAATATACAAAATAAGTGATGCACAATGCGATTTCTCACCACCTGCCGAACGATGCCCAGCCAGTCCCCGAGCAGCGGTCACCACCCCCCGGCC